TTCTCGGTCACCATCTGCGCCGACGACAGCGACCAGTAGAATTTCTCCTCTCTAGGGAAGACGAATCGTGCAGTCATCTTTCCTTTCTTGTAAGACGATTCACGCAGGGGCATGCTCACGTGCAAGGTTCAGGGCATCTACACGATCCTCCATCTTCTTTCGACCCGTTCTCCGAACTTCTCAAAATCTCCAATGCTCGTATGAGACCTTTCATTTTTAGGATGTTGCATATCATGAACATGAACTAGTAGAGAAAATTCCTATTAGGAAGACTTGAGAAAAATACAGTTATCTATGATATGCTTCGAATTTCCATTCCTTAAAACCCAAGCGCATTCACTGCCTTTCAGAAGGATGCAAGTCGTAAAAATGTATTACTTGCTTTGTCGCAATATTCGGACGAATCCACTGTGCCTTGCAGAAGTGGTGAATTTAAGTAGCATCGTGTTTTTTCATTTTCACGAATCGTCTTGATCTTGCACAAGTCGAGACACAGCTGATCGGGCGGAGGGCAGAAAGAGAGAGGGGGAGAGAGAGGGGGGGGGGGCAAAATTATGAGTCATCATGATGTTAAATACTGAAGCTGAAATGAAATCCAAGGCAAAGCCTCCTACACCTGCTTGGAATATTTGGTTTCATTTTTAAACTTGAAAACCTTCTGGTCGAAAAGCTCCGTGAGGTGGGATTCCAAGGCACAATCCCCTCCAACATCTGGATGAAGTCGTTCCAGTTCCACCTTCCGGATCCCGACAAACGAATTCATATTCATGCTGACGTCGAATCCTTCCCCGACAGGATCGGGTTCCGCTCGAGGATGGTGAAGAGTCAGCCTGAATCCTTCAGCTGGGGAGAGGAGAATCACGTGGTTCGACGAGTTCCACACCAGTCTCAGCTGCAGTCCTTGCTGCTCAAATGGAAGGCGAGAAAGAAGGGGATGACGTGGGTGTTCGACCAATTGCCTAGAGATTCGTTGTTGAAGGAATCTGACCGAAGAGCCAGATCGGCGGACTTCTTTGTCACCTTTGGAATTGAAAGTGAGACATTCCCCGTATTCGGAATTTGTCGTCACCGTGTAATCGCTGCAAATACCCGACAGCAAAATCATGTCAGAAGTGTCCTTCGTTTTCTTTCTTTTATGACAGCTATCATGACCAGGGAAAAGGCTCCAAACTTAATCTAGCTAAATCTTACGCCTTCTTGCAAGGTTCATCATTGAAACTGCAATGATGAATGAACCCTGAGATGTTGTTGGGTGCATTCTCCAAATTCAAGTATTTCCGGAAGTCCCTCAACGTGTAAGAGCTGGTCAGGAGCAACAGGTTGTAGTAGTCGTCCGCATCGATAGTCACATTCTTTATCTGAATCTTCCCTTCTGCAAGGAAAACTTGGAGCTTATTTCATGCGCTTTGAAACGAATAGGAAATGGAAATAAGCAACATGAGCTGGTCACTCTCTCTGCCTACCGGGTGATGGATGTTCTCTGCCTAGGACGTCCCCTAACCATTTCACGAGAGTCCCGAAACTCATCGAGGAATTTTCTTCATCAATGGAGGAATTCTTAGGTACAGAAGCGTTCCCGTAGATCCTTTGTGCCATCTCCATTGAGGCTTGCGATGTCGTTTCCCCGGAAGTTACATCCGGATTTGAGTCTGTGTCGACAGTGGGATAAGGGATTGTGTATGATGGTGTTTTTAATCTGGTTGCAATGGCATTCAAATTCAAATTCGCAATCAGGTTGTGTAGCTTCTTCCTCCCTGCAAAATGTTACCGATTGAGCATCACGGTCACAATTTTTTCTTAATGCGAAAATCTGCCTAATGTTCCTACCGTAGAAGAAATCGAAGGGATTAATGCAGCTTCTCGGCTCTCCGTTCGCGGCCCAATTTATTTCCGTGTTGAGGTCCGGACTTGTCTGGTTGCTGGCGACTTTTGACGGTGAGAGTTCTCGAACCAATTCTTCCAATCCGTTGTTTAGTTCCAAGATTTTCTCATAATCTGACGACGAGGGATTATCGGCCTGGTTCTTCCACAAAGGACTGTACGGACAGATGGTGACGGCGGGGAAGAGGAGAGATTTCTCCGTCACCATCTACCGTAAATGATAGTATACGACAAGGAACTCATATGATTCCTATTTATTTACCGATCCTATGAATGGAAAGAGAAAGGATGAAGGAGACGAAGAGACTTGAAGAAATGAAGGTCTACCTCGATTGTTGTCGTCTTCGGGCCAGACATGTATGTCTTCATAGTTTCTACGATTTGGAAGGTCATATACCCCGTTGCGATGAGAAAGATAACGAGCCAGAAGAGTTTCCTGCCAGGAGAGGAATCCCTGAACGCAGTACGACCCAGAGCCTGCAATAGGACCCTTTCTTTTAGAATGCTAATTGCCGGAGTTTGGGAAGACTAGGTTGGACTTCCAACTTCATACTCACGTGTCCTGAGAATCTTTGGAGGAATCTGACGGTGACAGGGCCGACGCCGACGGTTTCTCTCCCTTCGTCCTCGAACTGGACGTCCGCAACTCTTCCCCTTCCTCCGCCATCCATCCCCACTTTCTTCCTCATTTCAAGGCGTTTCCGGAAGGAGATGCCGTCAACTGAACGTGGTATGCAACAGAAGTGACGACTCGCCTGCCTTTGTGAGAGTGGAATGCAACATGTAACTTTCCCTTTCGGCCTTGTCGATTATCGACGTTAAGGATCTTCAGAGAGATTAGACTCCGAATGGGGGAGGGGAGCCGTCCCTGCTCTTTATCCATCGTCTTTTCCGAACCCGAATACATTAATCCTTGCCTATTCATTAGCTAGTATTGGTATGTCGCTGTCTCCTCATGAAACATTACTTGGAGTTCAGTAAATTCTCTTATCTTTTCTTTCTCCATTCTCGCGTCCACTCCAGCAACAAAGGTAAATTATAGTCTTTGCTACAAAGCTAATTCCTCAATTAGGCAGTATGTACAAATTAACGATCTCGTTATGAAAGCCCTCTTTGCAATCGGCGCCAGCGTCGGTAGTAATTACCTAATTGGGCGCAGATGATTGGGAATCCTACAATCTCTCAACTGCTACGGCATTGACGTCATCTTCTCCAGAGCATGTTGCAATTATGGTTTGGCGGTATGGGACTGAAGTGTAGGAAAGGCCGAAACTCCGGCGAGTTATTCTAGTTCCGTTCTACCGAATGAATACTTTTAATATAATTAGGTTTTTTCTTTCTTTCCTTTTTTCGCGACTTGGGGACAGCTAGGTGGTCAAAAATTTTGGAATGGAGAAGTAGAGGGAAAAAAATATCTAATTCTGAGAATAAGCAATGTTTTAAAAAACATTTGGTGTCGACAGTATCGACAGTAGTACGCGTATCTTTACGCCGTGCATTTCCAGAAAATCACGTTTCAATCGCTCCAGTTCCACCTTCCGGCAAACGAATTAATCTTCAAGCTAACGTCGAATCCTATCCAACAGGATCGGGTTCCACTCGAGAATGGTGAAGAGTCGGCCTGAATCCTTCAGCTGGGGAGAGGAGAATCACGTGGTTCGACGAGTTCCACACCAGTCTCAGCTGGAGTCCTTGCTGCTCAAATGGAAGACGAGAAAGAAGGGGATGACGTGGTCGTCGATGCATTGCCTTGACTTTCGTTGTTGAGCGAATCTGACCGAGGAGCCAGAACGGAGGAACTTCATAGTCACCCTTTGATTTGAAAGTGAGACATTCCCCATATTGGGAGTTGGTTGTCACATTGTAATCACAACAAATGCCATATAAGGTCGTGTCAGAAACGCCCTCATTTGCTTTTCTGACAGATATACAGATTAGAACGACGCTTGCTTGCTTCTGGGCCCAGAAGTGAAATCTGAATTGGACAATAACAATAACGGCATAGATCTCATTTTCCAGATCCAGAGTCTTCGGAAATTTTGTTCTGCCCAGGGAACCCAGCAATTCTGCGTCTTCGAGTTTCTTCGCGCATTTACTCGTATTTAGACAAAACGAGTGCACCGACGCTACATTCATCGAGCATTGAAGTTACAGCCCAAAGAGACGCAACATCCATTTGTCATCTTCATTCGAATCGTTGGAAATCGCTGACGGAAATGAACACCTCCTTAAAAAGGAATCGAACTTAAAAGTCTACCCTCGGGAATTGCTTTCAATTAGTCTTGTATTCCTCGAGTAAGAGCCAGAAAGACCTGAATGTGACCTTTCTGAAAATAGATAAGAAAAAAATTTTTGAAATTGCAAATTGTAATAGATAATTTTTTAAATCTCCCATGACCTGTCGCGCCTCCCAGTTTGAGAACTCTTGATGTACTCGTAGTCTGACTCCACACTTATGAAGTTATTATTTCTTATTTTTTAATGCAGTTCTGAAATGCATTGAGGAGAACCATGTCCTTCGCTAGAAGAAAGATCTGCCTGTAAATTTGAACGGTTTTCTATCTGCCTAAGAAGACGTTCATATTTTTTATTTCCTCTCAACCCATCGAAATTGGCCCATTAATTTTCGAACATCATTTTGATCATCTTCGAACTAGAGCACATCCACATTAATAAGAACAAATGCTGTTGGAATTATATGAGAGACTTCCTAGTTATTATTAAACTGGCGAAGTCTTTTTCCAAAAAATCTTAGCACATGTGTTTCAAGGCTGATTTCCTGGGGACCTAGAATGCCTAAAACCATAAAAGGCATGAGAGAAAAAGCAACTTTAGTCATTCCTTGACCGATCATCACTTTGACTTTATAAGCTGGTTTCACCGGTGGGTCATCTACATATTAATCGAAGGTGAAATCCTGATACCACTCCAACCCCGAGGAGGATGCACTACCTTAAAGGCATGTGATTTCGATTCCTATAATCGATGCAAGTGATTCTTATTGATCGAAGCCACGTTTCTTTCCCTTTGTGCACGTGATCCCACACACTTCTTACTCTCATTTTTACGCGTAAAAATACGGTTTTCGACTTCCACTGAAAAAATTGCATCATCGCAGCAGGTGAACTAGTGTGTCTTTATTAGAGTGGGGATGGTATCATGAAATGGAGGCAATGGGGATCAGATGTGGATCAGTCTAAAAGTTGGGTGTGTCAGAGAAGACAAGGTCGAATCCAGCACGTCGGGTATCATTCAAAGACTGAGGGTTGTAAACGGGTGAATCTCCCCAGGCGACCCCAGGACTCTTCTTTGTGGATCCTCCTTCTTGTTGCAACGTGTCTCTCCCTGCCAGGAAGAACGCAGTAGAAGCAAAAGTCCAGAATGGATATGTTGTGGAACCAAATGTATTTACTCACAAGTGAGAACAACAAGCCGTTTCGGCCCCATCTTGTCGTGTCGAGGCTTCCTCCACCCGTAGAGGACGATGTCGAGGCCACACTCCAACACTTCCAGGATGGAGATGAATGAAAGACCCGTGTAGAGACCCAACAACCCTCCCAGCGTCCCGATAAAGCTCGTCCACTGCATGGACAATGACGGTCAAGGGTCTGGGATGCGAGGAATCCAAAGGGAAAGTACGTTTCACTCACGGTAAACATGGGATTTTCCACGATTTTCTCCATTGTCATTGTTTCGTAGTAGATGTTCACTATAGCAAGATTCTTATCCTCTCTGCAAAATGAAACAATATTTCACAGCCTAAGCCTCACGTACAAACCAGAATATATACCGTATAAATGCACTCGGAATCGTGGATGCGTGGTCATCTGTGCAGGTATAAATAATGTCGCGGACAGGATTTTTCAGGACAAGTCCATGAGAGTGATGCAAGGGGAAGGGAAAGAGCTAAACTGAGTTAACAGACATGGATTGATGACAGTAGGTCTCATTTGACTCGGCTCCCTTGACGCCCCTCTTCCTTTCGCTTCTCATCCAGGCGACGAGATCCAAAAGCATCGCGTTCTCGGTCACCGTCTGCGCCGACGACAGCGACCAGTAGAATTTCTCCTCTCTAGGGAAGACGAATCGTGCGGGATCATCCATCTTTTCTTCCTCGAAAGATCTGCTTAGGGGCATGCTCACGTGCAGGGTTGGGGGCATCTACAAGAACCTCTGTCTTCCGCTGACTCCTCCGCCTTCAATATCTGCACTGCTTTCGCGAGACCTTTCATTCCAGACATTACATTCATGGTTACACTCGGCTCTGTAGTGCCTGCTGGCGAACTCTTGGTTATTGTTTCACTTATTGATCTCGAGAAATTTTACTCAAGAGTAATGATATGACTTTTGCTGAATAATTATTGTGTCGAAGCACTCACTTGATTTGTTGCAATATTCGGACCGATTCACAGAGCTTTGCAGAAGTGGAGATTTGAAGTAGCATTTGGTTTCATCATGTTCCCTAATCACCTTGATCTTGCATAAGTCGAGGCACAGCTGGTGGCAAGAAAGGACAGATACGTTTAAAAAATATATCATTACACATTTGAAATATTAGTATGTATTTTGGTGCGTGATTGCGTCCTTCCACGACTGCCCACTCGCCTCTTATTGGTCTGCACGGGCAAATGTTTTGGAAGTCTATCCGATCAGCACGATTGCCCCGCACCCGGCCAGAAGCCAGATTGTCGATCAAACTTCACGGACCGACCCGCGGGTTGAGTTGAGCCTATCGTGATGGCTGCAATCCAATCTTGCTCCGGATGACAGTACCGAGGGTCTCTGATGACGGGACGCATCCACGATTTTTATCTTACATTTGAGTGTTCCTAATTTAAACGGTGCCTCTCTTTAGAATGAAACGGTGAATGTTTCGCTAACGATCCTAAATGCAAATGGAACCCGAACCACGAAGTCTTCTATACCTGCTTGGAATATTTGGCGTCTTTTTTAATCCTGAAGATCTTCGTATCGAATTGGCGGGTAAAGTAGGAATCGTAGGCACAATCTCCTCCCTCATCCGGATGAAGTCGTTCCAGTTCCATCTTCCGGATCCCAACAAACGAATTCATTTTCATGTTGACATCGAATCCTTCCCCGACGGGATCGGGTTCCGCTCGAGGATGGTGGAGAGTCAGTCTGAATCCTTTAGCGGGGGAGAGGAGAATCACGTTGTTCGAAGCGTCCCACACCAGTCTCAGCTGAAGTCCTTGCTGTCCAGAGGGAGAAAAGGAAGATGAAATGCTGCTCGATTCATTTCATGAGTTTTGTGGATGGGAAAAGCTGACCGACGAGCCAGATCGGAGAACTTGCTTATCTCCTTTGGAGTTGAAGGTGAGACATTCCCCGTAGTCTGAGTTCGTTGTCGTGATGTAATCACTGCAAGTGTCAACCGGCAAAGTCGTCAGACGAGGCTTCCTGAAAAGACGAGGACGCAATCGGGAGATGGCTTACTCTCGACTGCAAGGTACGTCATTGAAGCTGCAGTGATGTATGAAGTTGGAGAGGTTGCTTGCAACATCTGCTAAATTCAGGTACTTTCTGAAGTCGCTCAACGTGTAAGAGCTGGTCAGCAGCAACAGGTCGACGAAGTCGTCCGCCCTAATGGTCACGTTATTGATTCGTATCGAGGCATCTGTAAGGAAGAATATATTATTTATATAGCGTCACAAAATAAAGTTGTTTCGGAATGGTCTGAACATACTAGGTGATGGATTTATGTCGATCCCAAGGTCGTCAAATTCATCTTGAAGGTCGCCCGGGTAGTAGTAGTCCTCCTCGTCCGAGGAGTTCTGAGGCGCTGAGTGATTCATGTCGATCCTTCCCGGCTCCTTTGTTGGGTCCAGCGACTTGGTGGAACCCGGAGTCGCATCCTGATAGGTGGTCTCGTCCGTTGGGGCTTCGGTTGCATCGGGGTTCGTTGTTGGGTCTGCCGTTGTAGGCACTGTCGTGTTCTGGCTTCTGGGGATCGGGGCGTCAAATGCCGCTGGAAAGACGGATGGTGGAGTCGTTACCAGTCCTTTGAGGGATCTGCGCTCGGTTCCTAAACTTACGGTATATGTATTGAAAGGGATTGATGCAGTTCCTCTTCCCTCCGTCGCTGACATTGCATCCCACGTCGGAGCCGACGGGTGAAGGCAGATCAGTGGTCGTCGTCTGGGCGCATGAGCCTTGAGACTGCAAGAGGTGCCGAACCGCCTCTTCCAATCTCTTGTTCAATTCAAGGATCTTCTGGACGTCGGACTGTGAGGGATCATTGGCCAGGCCTTTCCAAAGGGGACTGTAGGGGCAGATGGTGACGGCGGGGAAGGAGAGAGTTCGCTCTGTCTCCACCTGCCGTTGAGTGCAGTGGATATCAGGTTGCGACGAAGACCAGCTGATTTCTTTTCGTTTATTGACCCAAACAATATAGGGAATGGAGATAATACAATATCATCCTACCTCGATTGTTGTTGTCTTCGGGCCAGACATGTATATTTTGATGGTATCGACGATTTGGTAGGTCATGTATCCTGTAGCGATTAAGAAGATCACAAACCAGATTAGTTTCCTGAAGGGAGAGGACTCCCTGTAAACGGTCCGACCCAGAGCCTGCACGGAGAAACGGTTCCCTTCGAAAGAATCACCAAAGCATCGGACGTGAAAGAACCAGGAAGTAATAGCTTACATGCCCAGAGAATCTTTCGAGGAATCTGACGGTGACAGGGCCGACGCCGACGACTTCTCCTCCTTCATCTTCGAACTGGACATCCGCCACTCTTCCCTTCCCTCCGCCATCCATCATCACTTTCTTCATCCCCGTCAGCTTTGGTCACCGATCGGTGAGAGTTATCCTTCTCTGTCCTCAACTCTCAATGGATATCAGAGCAACGCGTTCGTCGGCACTGCGAATCCCGATCATCAGACACTGTCCCTATTCTTTGAATGTCGATTCCGGCCATATCCCGAGTCATTCGCGGCCAGCCCTGCTTTCTCACAGTTCGTCATCATTAGCCAGTCAAATGCGACGATTTTGGAGGCTCGTGCCTCTCCTTTGCTGTCATCTCATGGCATAGTAAATGAAGGGAAAATTATCATCTGGGTATTCAGGCTGGGTATTCATTCATCGTTTTTGTATAAAAGGAACAAAACCCTGCAGACCTTCAATCAATCAGCACATCAACCTCGACTGTAGACACCGAGATGATTACCAACGATCAGCCTCAAAATGGACACGATCAACCGCGAGGACTATGACGTCATGGTTTCATTTCGCGTTCCAGTTGAGTTTGGAGGAATTTTAAGACTGGCCCAAGGAAGAGAGGAATCCGAGTTGGAATGAATGGAGATTTTAATTTTTTTTTCAGGGAACATATTCTGGCGGTGAATGCCAGATGTGGAAGTTGGAAAGTTGGAAAATAATAGGTATGGGGCTGTTACATATTAATTAATTTATATTTATTTTAAACGCTACTTCGTCACATGAAACATGCAATCCAGGCGGCCGGAGTCCACCAGGAAGGAGGAGGAAGACTGGGCGATAATTAGTGTGCAGCGCAAAAGTGTTCATCTGCTTGCTGGAGATCAGATTCACTGAAAATTGGGGACTTCATTGATAAAACCTTTCCGAAGAAAAAGTGAAATTGAAAAAAAAAATGCTAAAACGTGCAGGGAGAAATAATGATAAAGGAAGAAGATTGAGCGGTTTCAACTGATCTTAACCCGAATGCAGTCCCTCGCAATGAAAATATTTTGGCGCACTTGCACTTTTGAAAAAATTTCCTTGAGCCGATATTGATAATCTACGCTTAATTTGCTGACATTTTAGGCAATAAGTGAGATTGACCTATAATGCAAATGCAAGCCATTGCGGTTAAAACTAGCCTTCGATTTGTCCTAGCATTTTTTGTTCGCCTTTTTTTTTAAATCAACGCTATCGCTACGCTTCTCGCGAAATACCGCAATGGCTGGAACCAACCACGGCCTGAAATGGCAGGTGAATTCGATCGTTCTGCTCCTACAGTCTTCTTGCGATTCAAAAACCTTTTTTTTTTGTAAACATGCTTTGCTCATTTTAGGATAATTTAGGACGACCTGGTGCTGTGATTTTTATCTTCTCAATGTTTTACCTGAAGATGGGGAGCATATATATATAAGGCGGCAGCGTGGCGCAGCGCTTGAATCGGAGCCCCTTCGATCACCTAGTTTAAGCAGCGTCAGCATGGGCACAACCTGGATGGGTGACATGGGAACATCGAGCTGCTTGCCTAAGGCGGTGCTGGGCACTTCACCGATAAAGGGCGGATGAGACTCTCGACAG